TGTCGACTTCCTCAAAATGGTCAGTGCAGCTTAGGCACATTTTTGTACCTTGTGGCTCCACCAAAAGGGCTTCAAAATCACCCAGGTATTTGTTGACCTTTCCTCTGGGACCAGGTAAAGTCACTGGGTGTGAGTCCTGAGTCTGTCATATTAGCCAGGTGACCTGGGCGAGTCCCTTGTCCTCCCTGTCCTATAAAATGGAGGGAACAAGTACCTAATTCTCAGGATCATTGTGAGCTTCAGATGAGAAATAATCCATAAAATCCTATTGGAGAAAAAAAAAAAAAAAAAGCTACTGATAGATAGTGGGTGTTGGGGGATGACGGCCCAGAGTGCAGGTCAAGGGCTCAGGCAGTCGAGGCTGAGTGTCCCGTCCTAAGGACTGGCAGGCTCTGTGATGGTCAATGTGTGTGTGGAGCCTGATTTGCTTTCCTTAATGGGACAGCTGTTTAATTAGCCTCTGAGTGTTCCTGACAAGTGTCCCTGTGATTGTCCCCAGCATCTAACAGGGTCAACTCTCTCCAGACCATGTGTGTGCTGAGCTGGCCAGCCTTGGGTGTGAGGCATTGACCCACTGTCCCATCCTCTGATTCTTGGCTTGTCACTCAGATGGCCTCGTGGGGCAGCCACTGTGTTGGGGACTAAGGGAACAGGAGACAGCCCTGCCTTAAGAATCCCGGTCTGGGCTGAAAAGGAGGAATGCAGAAAAGGCTCGGTGGCTGTGACCCAGTGGGGCTTGGAGGCAGCCAGTGCCCCCCAGCCTGGGAACAATTCTGCCTGGCTCTGCCACCAATTCTCTGTGTGACCTTGATCATAGGCCCTTTCTCCCTCTCGGCCTGTTTTCCCCTCTAAATGATGTTGGAAGAAGTGGTCCCAGGAAGCTGCGGCCTACAGCATAGCAGGGTGAGGGGAGCAGTGATCTGTGAAGCCAGCCCAGCCTGGGGTTCTCAGCCCGGCTCCTGCACTTTCCGGCCTGTGACCCTGGGCAGCCCACCCAGCCTCTCCACGCCTGCCTGACAAGGGTATGCTGGCCCTGCTGGCACAGAGCAGACACTGAACAACCTGCCCAGCAGTATCTGGCATTGGTGGGCCCCAGAGCAGCTTTGACCCTTCCCCTCTTTCTTTCCCTGTTGGTCTCTGCAGTACCCGGAAGTTCCCCAGGGAGTCTTGCCCCAGTGGATGAGGGGTGGCATAAAACAAGTGTTGCTGACCTCAGTGCCAAGTCCACCATGCTGTCTGTGCCACTCCCCTGCCTAGGGACCCCAGGATTGGGTTAGAGCTGGCCATCCTCTGCCTCTTAAGAGCTGGACGGAGAAGGGGAGGGGGGCAGGGGCAGGGTGCCCACTCTAGAGCCCAGCATCCTGTCTTTGTTGGCATCTTGGAACCTTGGTCTTTAGAACCGTGGACTCTTTCAGTTCCCAAATCTTGGAAGCACTGGATCATGGAACCATAGAATCTTGGTGATAGGAAATCCAGACTTGGAGGTGGCCTTAGTGGTCACAATCCAAACCTTCATCCAGCCCAGGCAGCCCCTCTGCAGGCTCCGTGAACACACTGGCAACTGGGGAGTCATCTGTAGTCCCCTCAGGTAGGTCTTGGACTTCAGTCAGATCACAGAGCTGCCCCTGCCCTTCCTTGTGGTCTTGACTGGCCACTGTGATGCGTGCCTGGGGCTGGTTAGTGCTAATGGACAGCTGGGATGGAACCAGGCGCCTGCTCAGCTAAGAATAGAAGGCTTTGTGTGATTTAAGTAGCAGCCAGATCATATCAGGCCTCCCAGCCAGGCCCCGGGGAGCTTATTAAGCGGGATCTGGGGCCACCCTGGGTCCTCCTAGGTGGAGGGGAAAGCCACTGGACTTCCCCAGGGTTGCTGTCTTGTGTTTACCTGATGATGAATTTTCCTTTTCCCATCAAGTAAGTTCATCCCTCCTCCTTCCTCCTCCCTGGGGCTGGCTGAGGTGCATCACCCAGTGTTCTGGGGGGAGTGTCTTCTGGGAAGAGCTCAGACAAAACAGAGCGTCCCTAAGAGGAACAAACAGATCAATGAAAATATCTTTGGAAGGGAGGGAACAGATGATGGCGACCTTTTATTGAGTGCCTACTGTGTGCCAAGCCCTTGGCTCAGCATTTTGTGCTCTTGCTGTATCTGACCCTCCCAAGGGGCTCTGGAAAGGGTCCTTATCCCCATGATGCAGATGAGAACACAAAGGCCCAGCTGGTACCTGGTGGAACTGATATTGGAACCAAGGACTGCCCTGCCCCGTTCCTTCTGGGGGAGAAACGGAGTTCCTGAGAGCTAGGGGAAAGAGGCAAGAGTCAGAATTCTTGGAGAGAGCCCTAGGCATGGAGGATTTTGTCTCTCTGACTGCAATGATTCATGCTTTACCTTATGTTAGAGTCTTTTCCACTTTTGGCAGCATGGAATAGGAGAAACGGTGCTGGACTGAAGAAGGAATTACGGCGCTATCACAAATATAGTAGGTGCAGGCACACGTTGGTTAGGTTTGAATTAAACCAAATCCACATCGGTCTCAGATTTCCCTTCTGTGAAGTGAGTAGAGGCTGCCTGGGGCAGGATCATGAGGCTGCAGCTCCAGATTCCCGGTCTTTTGACCAGAGAGTGTCCTGTTCCCTGCTCTCTGCAGGTCTCTGGTGCCTCTTGCCTCCCCTTGAGAGATTATTCCTAGTGTGAGAATTGGAAGGACACCTAGGAATCGCAGGTCACTCTCTGATGGTACGGACAGGAAAACAGGGGCCCCACAAGGACAAGGACTGGCCCAAGGTCATGCAGTGAGTGGGCCTCAGAGCACATAGTAGGTGTTCAGGAAATCCCTTCTTCCAAGCCAATGCCTACTCTCCTCTGGGGCACTGCTTTTCGGTGGTGATCTGGAGAGCCGGGGGTGGGGCGGGGGGCTGAGGCAGCTGGATCCTGAGAGGGAGGCAGAGGCCAAAGGTCCAAGCCTCTATCTGTAGTGCCCCAGGCCCATCTGTGCTTGCCCAAATCCTGCCCAGCTCAAATGCCCCCTCTTCTGTGAAGCCTTCCTGGACTCCCCTTCCTAATACCCTTTCTAATCTCCCTATCTACCTCAAGAGTGAGAGTATTTTTTTTAAATTGTATTATTTTCTGTTAACAAACATAAAATGTACCATAGTAACCATGTTAAATACAGTTCCATATGTTAACTATATTCACATTCTTGTGCAACAGATCTCCAGAGCTTTTTCATCTTGCAAAACTGAGACTCTACCTATTACACAACTACTCCCCATTTCCCCTCTTTCTCTGGCCCCTGGCACCCACCATTCCACTTTCTGTTTCTGAGTTTGACTATTTTAGATACCACATATAAGTGGAAACATACAGTATTTGGCTTATTTCACCTAGCACAGTGTCCTCATGGTTTGTCCATGCTGTAGCATGTGGCGGGATCCCCTTCTTTGTTCGGCAGAGCGCTGCTCCATTGTGTGGCTAGACCACATTTTTCTGTCCATTCACCTGTCGATGGACCTTTGGGTTGCTTCCACTTCTTGGCTCTTGTGACAAGAGTAGGGAGTTTTGAAGTTGGATGGGCCTGGGTTGGACCCTGGCTTTTAGCCTCCCTTTAGCTGGGTCTAAGGCCATCCTCACCTGCCACTGTGCCCAGTGGGATTGCTGCAAGGAGTAGAAATTGTTCATGTTGAAACACTTGGCATGCAGCAGGTTTGCAGTGAATAGTAGGTGGGATTCATTCTTGTTATCCACTTTCCCTCTAGGGACAGGTCCCTTTTGCCCATGGCTATAGGACCCACGGCTCACCTGCACCCCATCCATGAGGCCAGCTGAGCACCTGGTGAGTCTCAGAATATTGGAGCTGGAGGGCACCTGTACACAGAGAGGGGCATGGACTGGACTCATCCAAGTTCACACAGCCAGTCAATGGCCATGCCAGGATTCAACTAGGCTCTCCAGCCTGGGGACCTTCCCTCTGCAGTCCCTGAGATCCGCAAGCCTTGTCCTTAGGAGGGATCAGCTCCCTAGGGGCCTGTGTCTAATCCTGCAGCATTCAGGGCTGGGCGAGGCAGGGGGCTGGGAGATGAACATCTCAGGAGGCTCAAGAGATGAGCATCTGTAGTGGGCGGAGGCCAATGGCACCTGCTAGTGTCCTCTGATCACCTGACTTTCCCCAGGGCTGTGGACAGCAGAACTGCTTCAGCAACAAGGGGGCTCACTTCAGACTCATTTGCATGGTACAGGCTCTCTAAGGTCCTTGCCTCGCACCTGGGAGTTCATCTGCTTTTGCTCACTTTCATTCATTCATTTGCCTATTCCTTCCTTCGCTCATTTATTCAGCAACCACTCCCTGAGGCCTGCTGTGGGCTGGGAGACCAATCAGACCTTGCAGGCACTCAGTATGGCATAGCGGTGAATGGTGGGGATTCTGAGGCTAAACTGCCTGGGTTCAAATCCCAGTTCTGCCAGTTACTACCTCTGTGACCTTGGACAAGTTGCTTAGCCTCTCTGCCTCAGATCCTTCTCTGAAGTGGGGAGAATGATAGTTCATAATTTATATTTGTAAGTTACTGTTGTCACATAACAAATCACCCCAAAACTTAGTGACTTTATATAAGAACAGTCATGGCCAGGCGTGGTGGCTCATGCCTGTAATCCCCGCACTTTGGGAGGCTGAGGCAAGTGGATCACCTGTGACCAGGAGTTTGAGACCAGCCTGGCCAACATGATGAAACCCCATCTCTATTAGAAATATAAACATTAGCTGGGCATGGTGGAGCGCACCTGTAATCCCAGCTACTCACGAGTCTGAGGCAGGAGAATCGCTTGAACCTGGGAAGCAGAGGTTGCAGTGAGCTGAGATGTCCCACTGCACTCCTACCTGGGCGATAGAGCGAGACTCTGTCTCAGGAAAAAAAAAAAAAAAAAGCAATCATTATCTCACAGTTTCTATAGGCCAGGAATTTAAGTTGGACTCAGCCTTGGTCTAAGCCCAGTGGCTCTGGCTCAGGGTCTCACATGGTTTCTGTCAGATGGCGTCTAGAGTGAGGAGGAGCTGGGGCACTCGGAGGTTGGCCCGGCTTCTCTTGCTCTTTGCATAGTCTCAGGCCTTCCTTTCTCTCTCTGCGGGCTTGTTTGAGCTTTCCCACAGCAAGGCAGCCTCAGAGCAATCACGGTGTCTACATGGTGGTGCAGGACTTTAGCAGGAGTGTCCCAGTGAAGGAGGCAGAAGCTGCTTCACACTGGATGACCGGTCCCTGAAAGTGCCATAGTGTCACCTCAGCCATTACTCCCAAGCCCTCTCAGATTCAAGTGGGGGTGACAGAGACCCCACCTCTCTCCATGGGACTGGTGTCAGCATCACTTTGTAAGAAGACGGTGTAGGATGGGAGACGTTGCTGCAGATGTCTTTGGAAATACAATCTGTTACAATTGTGAGAGTTAGATGAGTAAACACAGGAAATGCCTAGAACAATGCCTAGGCATCGTATATAAATGGTAGCTAGATAAAACCAAGGGTGATTTTGACCATATGCAACTTATTCATGATGTGCTGACTGTAGGATGTGACTGCCACTATGGAAGCCAATCCACTGAATAGCAGCATTTCCCATTTGGGTATTGAGGGATCTATAGGAGTTCACCAGACTGAGGCAAGCAGAAAGGCATTCTACACAGAGAAATTAACTTTGCAAAGGTGTCGAGCTGGAGAGAGGAGTCCCTGGAGCAGGAACTTAGCTCCAAGTGGCAGGGCTGGCCTGAGGTGAGGAGTGAAGGAAGTGACTGGAAAGCCCAGGTTGAGAAAAGTTTTGCATGTAGGTTTTGTACTTAATCCTGAAGGTTCCAGGATGTCCGTCTGTTTCTCAGGCAGCAATATGAGAGGCTTGAGTACCATCATGAGGAAGCCATTTCTGAGACCGAATCAACAGGATCTTGGGAGATACTGGACTTGGGCGTGTAGGGAGAGGTCAGGACTGATGGGGCCCACTCCCAGGTGTCTGGCACTGGTCATTTACATCGGTTTTGAATGTGATGTGCGTACCTAGCCTGGCTTGCTTTCCCTCCTTTTCCAGTATATTAGAAACTTTGTGATTGTTCTCTGCTCAGATTGGCTCTTTGGTAGGGGAGGGCAGAAGTGTAACTCCCTTGGCAGAGGGGTCTGGAGGAGCCTGGCAGGGCCAGTGGCCTCTTCCTCTGCCCCCAGCCCCGTCTGTGGAGAGTGGCTCCTGCTCCCTCACCCTCTCCTCTCCCAGCACCCCTCCCCACTCTGATCACAGCCTCAGAGTCCAAATGAAACCAGCCAGACTGTTCAGGGGACTGTTGCGACGTCTCCCTGAGCCCCTGCTCTGGAGCCCCGAGCACCAGCCTGGAACCCTGACTGAGCCAAAGGCGTCACCCCTGGAGCAGGTGACTCTGAGCGAGGCCATGGCCCGGGTCTGTGTTTCCAGGATGTTTACGTTCCTGTGGATCTGTCTTTGCGCGGCTCCGTGTACTTCCGGGAGCCTGTGTGCTCACGCCAGTGTGCCCACTCGTGTCTCCCATGTCTGTCCGTGAATATGTGCCCTCTGTCTTTTTGGATGTCTCTGTGTGTTCGCATGTGTTTGCACAAGTATGAGGTGGGCCTCTTAGGCTCTCTCCAGGGCCCCCATGGTATCTCCTCATAAATGGCAGGCAAGTTAGGGTGCTCTGAAGGGGGCTAAGTGCGAGGAGGGGCTGAGCCAGGGGATAGCCCTTGCCCCTGGGGGCCTGTGGTCTGAGGGAAAATCCAGACCTCACCAATGTGGCACACTCAGCAGAAAAATACAAATTTCCAGATTTGAGAAATCTCTTTAGGAGCCCTCATGCTGCACTTGGCCTGGATGTTGGGCACCCAGGGTTAGACAGACCCTGCCCCTACCTTCCAGAGCCAGCCCAGGCAGTCAGCTGTGCAGTTGGACACTAGCGTGGCTGCTGAATGGATGGCTGTACAGGGCACATGAAAACAGGTGAAGGCATGCCCGGGCCTGCTGGAGAGTCAGGGAGGGCTTCCTGCAGGAGGAGTTTGAGTGGCAACTCCAGGGCTGTTTGGGGGATGAGAGGAAGGAGATGGAGAACAGAGCTGGGCTTGGCGTCAGATGGCACTGGAGGGTTTGAAGAGGGAGATGGGGAGGGTGATTCTCATCTTCCAGGCCTGGAGGTTGGAGGGAATGGAGGTGCCTTGAAATGCGTGGAAAGGGAGAGGAGTTCCCATTTGGCCACTGTGGGTGTGAGCTTCCTGTGGGGTGTCCAGGTGCAGGTGACCAGAGGGTTGCAGGATACTTGAGTCTTGAGCTTGGTCCAGGCAGAGACGGGTGGTTGAAGCCATGGGGTGGATGATACTGCCAAGAAGGATATGGTGGGCAAGGGAGGGAAAGGGGGCTTAGGATTGAGAGCAGCAGCATTCAGGTGTGGGCAGAGAGACAAGCCAGCAAGGGGCTGGTGAGGTGGGGCCAGAAAGGGGGACGAACAACCGGGCAATTAATGTCCCGGAATCCAAGGAAGGAGACTGGTTTTAGGAGGGCGAGTTCTGCAGTGTCAGCTGAGGATGGAGAAGTGCCCCATGGATTTACCCACACAGAAGCCATTGTTGAACTTGGTGGCAGCAGAGGGTATAATGGGTTTTGCAGTGGGTGGGAGGAAGTGGAGATATGGGTGTAGACAACTCTCAAGTTTGAATGAGAAGGAAGGAGAGAAAGGGAGGAGAGCTGGGAAGGGGTGCCGGGGATGAACTGCGTGAGCCCCAGGCTGCTCATTGCTGACTGGAAGGAGCCAGAAGAGGAGAGAGGAGAGACCAGAGGGAGGAGAGAGGGTAAACTGGTCATCTGTAGACACCCGCCTAGTCCTCTGCCCGCGGCAGGGAGGGTGCCTGGAGGGGGTGGTGCTTTCTGGAGGAATGGTTGTGGAGGGCTGAGGGTGGAGGAGGTGCAGTGCTGGGCGGGTAGCCTTCAGTCCTGCCCTGACCTCTGCCAGTCTTCGCATCTGCAGAGTAGGGTGGTAGCAGCCACCCTGGGGCGTGGGGAGGATCCCAGGAGGCAGAAGCCCCACTAGCTCAGAGCATCCTCATAAACCAGGTTCAGGTCAGGAGTTGAAGCTCAGGGCTGGGCGGGGTTGGCCTCTGGTGGTTTTTGCATCTTCAGTGCTCACCAAAGCTGTTTCGTAGACACTGCAAACAAGAAAGGCCTGGGAAGGTCAGGATGTGGATGGCCTGCTTCCAAAGAGGCCACACCCAACCCCATCTCTGGGCCCAGCTCCCAATTACAGGGAAGTTCTTCCTTTGGGTCTAGCCTAAGTTTTTCCCGCTGTGCATTCCCTTCTGGTGAACTTGTTCAACCCTGCTCCATGGAGCCAAGCCTATCAGCCGACCACTTGGAGTGGTGGCCAGTGTTTTTACAACTTGTTTTCATGAAGATTATTTGAAGTCTCCTTGCATTCCCAGAATGTCAGACCCGCCCTGATTCACAAGGATTGACCAAAACAGGGTCTGAGCCAACCAGAGGAATCTGAGGACTTAGTCATACCCCTTGGATCATCTGCACATTCCTTTCCTTCCAGTTAAAAAAAAAAAAAAGGAAAAGAAGAAGAAAGAAGGAAAGTTAGCCTAGATGACCAGGAAGGGACAGCGGTATTTGGGGATGTAAACAAACTCAGATGATGCTGGCCATGGATGAAGGGGTGGGGCCTGAGGGGTCAGTGCTTGGCTTTGCACCTGGCAGACGTCAATTCAAGTGCATGTTCTGCTGCTTGTAAGATGGGGATCTTTCACAGGATACTCTTCATGTCTCTGAACTTCGGTTTCCTCATCTCTGAAATGGAAACATTGATGGCACCCACCTCAGACACCTGAAGCAGACCTAGAAGCAGACCCTGAGGCAAGGATTCGTGTGACAGTGATTCATTAGGAAGCTTCCCTGCTAAGGGAAACCTGCTAAGGGAATAGGAAATGTAGAAGCAGAAAGAGAAAGAGGAGAAGCAAGAGGCTATTTCCAGCCGAGCTCCATAGAAGAACTTTGGCTTTGTCTTCCGGAGGAACTCTCATGGGGACACTGTAGGTCATACCCGAGGGCTGGCCCTCCAGGGGCAAAGATGCTGGAGAATTCATACCTCTCCCTCCTGAGTCAACGGATTATATGAGATAAAGCATGTAAGGTGCTGATTGCCCAGGACCTGGCACCAGCAAGTGACAGCTATGAGAAAGGGGTGTGCAGAAGGGGAAATCTCAGGCTGTGTGGTCAGCAAGGGGCAGTGCCTTCTGAGAGCCTGCCTGTGCTCCACTGCTCCTGTAGCCCCAGGTCTTTGTCTGTCAGCTTTTAGAGGCAAAATCCCACAGAGCTCCCGCCCCCATTGTTCTCCCGGATGACTTGGCTTTGGGCAATCTCTCCAGTCAGTCCAGGTCCCTCCCAGCCCTAGAGGCCGGCCCTGGTGCCCTGCTGTAGTTCTCCCTTCCAGCCCACCCACCCAGCCTGGAGGGCATCAGTGATGATTACGAGGTGGGACAAGGCTTAAGGACAGAGATTAGTTCAAGGCCATGGAAGCACCAAATGCCCATAGAGAAAATCGAGGCCATTGTGGCCCATCCCCGCCTGAGTCGAATTTGGATTTGACTTTTCTTCGCAGCCCACCCACTCTGTGTTTCCATAGAAGGTACTCAGGGATCGCTTGGGGGAACTTGCGTAGGTCAGCACATTCCAGGAACAAATTAACAGGTTGCCCTTCCTGGCTGTACTGACTAAATCCTAAGACTCCGACTATGTGACTCTCACTTTCACTGGTGATATCGGGCTGAGTTAGCCCTCATGGGACCCACTCTTACCCTTCTCCTGTCCGCTGTGATATCACAAGAGATGTTACCCATGATCTGGCCTCCCCACTCAGGCCTCTGGGAGTCAACCTCCCCCTCCACTCCCCCCACCCCCAACAGACCATGACAGGCCTGGGTGCTAGTCCACACTCTGTCACCTGCTGTGTGACCTTAGGCAAGTCACCTCCCATCTCTGAGCCTCATG